ATGTGTCAATAGTCTGGTTTAATCTAAAATAATACAACAAAATAACCCAAACAAAAAAATAAATAAAATATAATTATATAATAAAATTCTTATCCTGTTTTTCTTTATATATATATATAAAGTTTTCGTGGGTACTTACATGTATGGTATTCAGCTTTGTTCGGGTATTTTCCCATGTCATTATAGTTGTGCTTTTAAAGTTGTAGCTTTTATATATATATATATATATCTCGTAGGTTTTCATGGGTACAGGTATGTAGGTCTAGGTGTGTTCGGGTCTTTTCCCGTGTAAGATCCTCTTAATCTTACACGGAAAAAGACCCGAACACACCTAGACCTACATATATATATACACACACACACACATACATACATACATACATACATATATATAACCTCAGAAAACACACACACACACACATATATATACACACACACACATATACATACTATATATATGTGTTAAGTTTTCCCGGGTATCTATATGTATGGTATTCAGCTTTGTTCGGGTATTTTCCCACGTCATTAAAAGCACAACTATAATGACGTGGGAAAATACCCGAACAAAGCTGAATATCATGCATACATACATACATATATATGTAACTCAAAAGTGGTGAACGTACTGTGAGCATAATGTGAGTTTCATATGGGGGTAATCTTACCATTCTGACACATACAGAATAGTAAGTATAGATGTGTAAATGATTCTCAACTACAAAGTAATCAACAGAAAGTTCAATGAGAAGAAAGGAAGAGTGGTAGTGAGATATTGAGAGGGGTAGGAGCAGCTATATGTTTTGTAGGAGATGAGCTGTCTTCTGATGCCTGCTTCCAGATGAAGTGGAAAGACTACTGAGCCACATCAAAACTACTAATTGCAATTCACTCCCATTTGTGGTCATGCATTATGGCTAGAAGAGGACAATTACTTTTAAGAAAGATTACTTTAAACCGGCGTTTCTCAACCTTGGCATCTTTAAGGCAGGTGAACATCAGCTTTCAAAATTCCCCAGCCAACATGTTTTAAAGTTGCCAAGGTTGAGAAACACCGGTTTAGAATACAAAGTTGAGTAGGAAGTGAAGAGGCTGGGTGTGAAAGGAAGAGGTTTGGTGTGTTTTTTTTTTTTTTTTGCAGGAAAGCAAACTCCTGAAAGTGAATAGCTAATTAACAAATTGGTATAAAATCTGAGATTTACACCAATCCTTTCATCAATAGTACAAGAGGCTTTAGCCAGACATGAACTGCAGCTCATATGGGGAAAGAGAACATGTCTGGCAAGAGCTTTGGGAATCTTGTCAGGAGGGCTAAACTAAACTGAAAGGATGAGGGAAAAAGAACCATGGACCAAGAAAAGTGCCGGACATTAGGAACGTGGCTTCATATAATAAGGCCTTGCAAGACAAAAAAAATAGTTGAAATTCTTAATAGAGGTAGGGCTTAACTGCCTTGCTTAGCATGGAAATTTTGAGCTCAATTGTGGTCGTAAATCAAGGACTACCTGTATGTGGCAGCACGGAGACCAGTAAGCAGTGATACAGATCTTACTTAACAGCTGCCCCATTTAGCAAGCATCTGAAACACTTGACGGCACTGAAACAGTAACTCTACAAGTGGCCCTTGCATTTATGACTGTTGCAGTGACCCTGCGGTGATTGACAGTTGCTTACTTCACAACTGGCTGCTGATAAGGAGAGTCAATGGAGAAGGTGACAGTAAAATTGCAAGTCAAGGTTGCATGTCTTGCTTTCCAGTCTGAAGTGGTGACTCACTTAACCACCAAATGAGAGGTGATGTAAATCAGTTGTCGTATGATGTTTTGTATGGCAACCACATTGCTTAGCAGCAGAGTTTTTGGCCCCAAGAGAATTTGGAAGCAAAAATATGGACGGATGGATGGATGGATGGATGGATGGATAGATAGATAGATAGATAGATAGATAGATAGATAGATAGATAGACAGACAGACAGACAGACAGACAGAGACAATTCTTTGTAGGCCAAATGTGATTGGACACACAAGGAATTTGTCTTGGTGCAAATGCTCTCTGTACATAAAAGAGACATTTGTCAAGAGTCAAGAATAATGACTTCTGGTTTGTTCCTCATCGGAGTCGGAGCGGAATCCCTGATCATGGGCGGTTTTGCCCAAGCTCACTTGCTGGAGGGTCCCGATCGTGACCAGAACCACTCTGGTGGGGTGGTGAAGAAGGGGGAAATCACCTGGAGAGTATAATTATAATAAGTATCAAAAGTATAATTATAAAAGTATCGTGCAATTATGCGTTACATTATAGAATGCTTCTCCAGGCAGAGATGCGACCGAACTATAAATCATCTCACAAGTTCTCGAGATAACAGGCCACAGTGGTAATGGGAGACCTAAAATACCCTGATTTTAGCTGGAAAATCGACTTCCCTCAGATTGAGTGGCCCTACAGATGTCTCATCTCACTTGCTGGACAATAGTGCTTCTCAGAAGGGGAAGGAGAAACGAGAAGCCACTACCCTGGGTTTAATTCGGACCGAAGAGAGGAGCTGATCAGTAGCCTGATGGCACCAGGTGCCCCGGGAGAAGTGGGCAGCTTATGTTGGTATTCAGATTAAAGAGGGAGAAAAACTGAGCGGAATTAGCCACAGACTTCAGAGAGGCGAGCTTCAATCAGCCTGGGCAAAAAGTATACAGCCTATTGAAACTCAAAATCCTAAATGAGAAGTCGAAGAGGGTTGGGAGAACACGAGAAAATAGTTACAGGCATAATAATTTCCCCCATAATAAGGGGAAATGAAAAGCTTTAAGAAGTCTGTGAAATTAACCGTGAAGCAGAAAAATACGTACTGGAAATAGACTCGGCAGGAACCCAAACAGGTAATTCAGGTATAGAAGGATGGACTTGGGAGGAGTAAGGGTGTTAAAGGGGGTTTTGGGGTGTGAATCTGGAAAATAAGATAACACAGGTAGTCCTCAACTTATGACCAGAATCAGGATTCCATTGCTAAGCAAGTCGATTGTGAGTTGTGCCTGATTTTATGGTGGGTTGTTTTTTTTTTTTGCCATGGCTGTTAAGCAAATCACTGCTGCTGTTAAATGAATCGTGGCCGTTAAGTGAATCCAGCTTCCTCCATTGATTTTGCTGGTCAGAAGCTGCCCGGGAAGATCGCAATTGGCGATCATATGACCCAGGAGGCTGCAACCCTCATAACTACACGCTGGTTGAACAAGCACCTGAATTTTGAACGCTTGAAAAAAAACCATTGATTTTTTTTTTCAGAATTTCATTTTTTTAACGTGCGCCAGTGTGTTCACAGGAAAAAAAAAAGGGACAATAAAGGTGATCTTATTGACCTTGGAAATGCAGCAATGATCATCAAGTGTGATGTAGGTCAGTTTTTAGTGCTGCTGTAACTTTGAATGGTTCCTAAACAAATGGTTGCAAAACGAGGAGTCCCTGTAGGGCCTTCCTATCAGAAGACAATCCGTGTAAGAGGGTAGTGGACAGAGACCTCCCCACGATTCCGGCAGGAGGCTTCCAAATAGGGGCTAGATAGTTTTCTCTCCAGGAAGACTTTGTGGATTCCCAAACTGACCAAGGCACGGTCCAGATCTATAAGGTTCCCCCCAACTCACACAAGCCATGATACTTTCCTGTTACAGGTAATCCTCAACTCACAACTTTAGCCGCTGTTCAAAGTTGCAACCGGAAAAAAAAGGGGGGGGGATTTGGGACCAGTCTTCACACTTACATCCATGGCCGCATCCCCATGGTCACATAATCAAAATTCGGGTGCTTGGCAACTGGTTCACATTTATGACAGTTGCAGTATTCCGGGTCAGGTAATCGCCTTTTGCGACTATCTCACAAGCCAAGCTAATGGGGGAGCCAGATTCACTTAACAACCTTATCAGTAACTTAACACCTGCAGTGATTCATTTAACTGTGGCAAGGAAGGTCATAAAACGAGGCAAAATTCATGTAACTGTCGCTCTTAGCAACATAAATTCTGGGCTCGATTGTCGTCGTCAGTTGAGGACCACCTGAGACGATACTGTTTTGTTTCAGCATAAAAGAGCTTACTATTCAAGGAAACGGCTGTTAAGAACGAACATAATCAGAAGTTACTAAAAACAGAGGAATAGCGCGAAAGCTGTCATTCTGAATAGATTAGTATCTTTATTTTTGCTGGCATGTCAGAGCCGTTATGATCAATTATTAAGTAAAGAAGAAAAATTTTCCGTGATATCCACAACTCTGATTTTTCCATATACTTGCAGTTGTAATGCATCATCTTTTGACATTTTAATGACATTTTAATCTGGTATCTCCTTTCATTTTCAGGTTATGTTCATGTGCACCGTAGAAGCTCCTATCTACTTCTCTCCCCTATGCCAGTCAAGGAAGAAAAACGCTTTTCCTTCTATTTGGCCAATTAAAAGATATAAGGAGCCCAATTTAAGAAACAAGCCACGAAAGACAAAACGGTTTATTCTGTAGTTGAAACTCTTTGGTTTCAAAAATCATGACTCATGGCTGGTGTATTGCAATCCTATGAATCTTTGCATAGAGGTAAATCCCACCCAGTTAGTTCACAGATTTGAAATGGCAATAGAGAGCCACAGATTATCTATAAAGATTTTTTTTAAATTCATGAGATAGATCGATTACGCGCATTTGCCAATAGTTTTCAGGGTGTAATTTTCATAACTGGCACAGAGAGTCACTCCTTCCCTAAATTCAGCCCTGCTGGATGAAGCAAAGAGAGCTTCATTGGCCTTGTGTGATTATCCCAGCATCCTGGCTGCTTCATTCAAAATACACCTAATAAACCTGTAAGTTCATCTTCAAAATTAAAAAAAAAATATTGCATAAAAATGCTGCTCTGGTGTACATTGTCACAAGCAATGACATAACCTGTTAGATGCATAGAGAGAGGATCATCCTCGTTCTACTTTTATTTTTGCTTAGTTTTCACTGTTACATATTGGTTA